AAAAGTTAAATAAATAATTGCATTATGGACACCTAGGATTCCTCAGGTGGAAGGATTTGTTACACCAACCTCTTGGTGTGCAGTACGTTTGAACTTCTCTGTCTGTTTGGCCAACCGAATCTTTTTCAGCACATACCTACCGAGGATATGAAATTATGAGACATTATGAGAACGAGTCACAATTGAAGATGAAAAGCTAACCGAACTGAACGAAAAGGCTGGATTTTCATCCAACAATTAAAGACCAACATCCAAAATAGGAAAAACCAAAAACTTTTCAAACTTTCTTGCTATGGTTGTCCATCATTTGACTGAAAAAATCAATATCCAAGATTCAACAGTCCATGATATTCCACGGTTTAGTAGGAAAATTATTGAAGCACAAAAGCTCTAACTGCCATCAAACTTCTCAGGCCTCAACTCCAACAATTAAACACAAAGTCTTTTAAAAAGTTGAATTTTTTCCTCATGGGGCTGTCCATTTTCCAACTGGAAAAATAAATGGATCCTCAAACCGTTTATGTAAGCATAGATGAAGCAGTTAAAGGTGTCATTGGCCTACCTCTTTTTCTCGGACTTGTGAAGAACGAGGAAGGCAGAGCCAAAAGCGCCTCTTCCAATTTGCTCTATCACTTCGTAGTCTTCCATCTTTCTGGACTTGGTATCCCCGTTCTCTGTCTCCATAGAAAATTCCAGAAGGTAGAAGACAAAGGGTGAAGAAGCAGTGAAGTAGCAGATCCTGATTTGCTACTACGAAGTTGGGAAAGAAAAAGAAAGAAAATATTCTTTATGGCAACGTGTGTGTGAGTGTGAATTCTACTACCAAACTTTTCTACCCTTTTTTTCATCCAAGTGCTGTAATTGAAGACACCCCCAATAGGCTGAAGGGCATTAATTGGGAAAAGTAAATGTATCCTTAGAGAATGAATTTTGGGGACTATTCAATAGGTTGTAGCAACCATATGAAGGGGCTTCACATGAAAGATGAGTAAAGCTACATTCCACAATTATGACACTAAACTACCTCCTCAGAAGACAGAATTGGAGAGAGAGAACTCAGGTAAAGTAGAATATATCACCACCAAGAAAATCGAAAGGTTATGAGTTAACTTACCCAAAAGAAAATGTAGAGAGAGAACGGGGACATAGCAACAAGGTCTAGTACAGACTATATATATATATATATATATATATATACCAAGGTCTTAATTTTTTAGTCAAACCCATATTGAGTTTATGAAACTTACCAGAGTCAAAACAGATTTTACCACTAAAAATATGTCTGTCGATTATTTATCAGTAATCAAAAACAAAACTTGAACTTGAACATGTTGCATATATTAACTGTACTGACCTTTGATAAATGTTTTTTAATGTTGACACGAGAGTTGTAGTGGTGAGTGTATCATGGCTACAACCCCACACAATGACTGAAAAGAAAATGGGGGTTGGGGTAAAGGGCATTGGAGGACAGAACTTAAAGGTGGCAGGTGTGCTGTGGAAAACTAAAGAAAAAGGAAAAGTCTTGCTTGCGTTTGCAGACTCATAGGAGATCGTTCAAAACAAGGAATGTTCCTAGCTCGCAGATGTGATGTCACACTCCGTGTACCTTAATAAACAAAAAGATTAAATAAGTTGCAAGTTGTTAATTATTTGAATACAATCTTTATTAAAAGTATTAAAAAGGAATATTTTTGCTCGTGGTTATTAGATAAAGCCATGAGTATTCTTGTATGTTTTTATCTGAAGTTTTTTTATTTAATTTAGAGAATGAAAATCATATCAATTTTGATAAGGAGAATTAAGGTTTACATGTCTTCTTTTTTATGTCATTTTAATATTGTTCAGGATCTTAATCTTATGCTTGAATGAGATTGTTCTGGTTTTTTTCTCGATTCAACACCCTTTAATATCCATCAATTTTTTTATCCATAACAACATCAAAACATAACGAGTCGAGGAATTGCAGTCAAAGTATCATGAGATACAATAACTTCATTTATAGGTGTATGATCTTGCTCCATTCCACATACTGCACTTCGTCACTGCAACACATTCAAAAGTAAATTTCAATGAAATAAACACAAATGCAAAGAGGATGTTCCTTCTTGAAGATTGATTCGCCTAAGATTGTGATCGACGAGGTTGACAAATATGTTCTTATCGTTATTAGTGCACGAAACAAAACAAGAATCAAATTCTTATATAACAAAAACGGGGAAATTCTAGAGTAAAAACTTGAAATTGAGAGAATGTGAAACTTGATTTCGTTCAATTCAATGATGACAGATTTTTTGAGAGAATGAATCCAAATAACAATTCAATAACAAAGCAACAAGTAGCTTGCAAGAATTTATTAGGAGCACCAACATTCCATAAATACATGGAACATATTTTTTATGTGAAAAACTCTTCAAATGTAAGGGTGAAAACAACAATTCATCAATAATAAAATAAATAAGTTCCTTATAATCAATAAAAAAGTATAAAATAGGCTCTAATAAGTAATTATAATCCGTATGAGTACAATATAAAGTGAATAAAGAGGTTTGTAGATTCATTGTAATGGAAGTTTGTTTGACAAAGATTTTAGATAAAAGTATTTTGACAAATAAGTATCACTACTAAAATAGTTAAAAAATGTTTATGTTTGAAAAGAAAGAATATAATATAGAATGGACTTACATTTTACAAAAAAAAATTGTTAGATATTATGAGTTGAAATTTACATATTAATTATACAAAAAAAAAAGCAAAATAATATATAAAAAGAAAAACACAGTCATTATCATAGAACTTTTTATAAGAAATGTTATTTTAATTTCTTATATAAGTTTGGTTATGTCTCGTTAACCTAGATTCAATCGAAAATACATGAATTTATGAACCACTCAAAAACTATTTAAACATAAACAAACTCATCAAAATTGGGCAAAGTGTATAAATACTCTACAAAAAGTAAATAAACTAATAAAAGTTGCGTGGGTTTGTGCTAGTATATAGTGCGCTGGCCAACCACCGTAGCTGGTCCAAAAACATAATTGTGGTTTAATTTAACAACTCCACCTTTTTTAGAGGCCTAGAATTTTTGTGTTGTTTAAAGTTTCACGTAATGATATGATTAGTTTTAAATTAAGTATTAATAGCGAGTGTGTTGATTTATGCAAATATGACAGGTCAGCAACAATTTGTTGCATATTTGCACAACTTAGGTGGAAATCCAGTTTATTTGAGTGAATCTTCCTGCACCTCCCTCACCTCATCCTGCACCTCCAAATTTACCTATTTACCCTTTCTTTAATAAATAAATTAAATTTTTTTAACCCCACAAAAAGTAGCCACTGCACTTTGAAGTGCGTTTTGCATTTTGTAGTCGCACTTTGAAGTGCGGTTATTGATATTCCAGAGCATGGTTTTTTTTTAAGTTAAATTCCTGCAATCTTTTTTCCAATTTTTTACATGTTTTTTGATATTTTTTTTTATGATTTTGTTATTATGTTATTATTTTTAATTTAAATTTATTGTTTTATGTTATGATTATTTATTTTAAATTTTTTTTTCATGGATTATGCCAACAACACGAAGTGATCAAACCACATATTCAATTAAATTCAAAGAAAGAGTGTTACATATATTATGTTGAATTAAAAAATTATCTATATTAAAAACGCCAATTTTTGCCGCATATCGAAGTCCTACGTTTGTCGCAGATCGAACTGCGGCATGCACCTCCAGCGAGCCGCACATCGAAGTCCGGTTTGCGGCGTGCACCTCCAGCTACGTTTGCCGCAGATCGAACTGCGGCATGCACCTCCAGCGAGCCGCACATCGAAGTCCGGTTCTGTAAGTTTGCCGCACTTCCAAATGCGGCGTGCACCTCCAGCGACTGCGGCTCTGATCCTTGCCGTGCCACTTCCAAATGGTCCTATACTAATCATCATATTATTTAATTGATTTAATTTTTTATATTATCGTATTAATGAAATCAATTATATACTTGATATAAATCTAAGCAATTCTTCTTCATCTTGTTTCCTTCTTCTGTCCCCATTTGAAATGAATGCAGCATGATGGTGACCTCGAGAGAGTTTGACGGTGGAAGGAGAAAAGATATATAATATAAATTTAGAGAGTGAAGTAGTTATTGTGCAATGGTAGGTGTTAGATACAGTGCTCCCAGGTGGCAAGTGTTTAGTAACCGCACTTCAAAGTGCGGCTATAAAATGCAAAACGCACTTCGAAGTGTGGTGGTTACTTTTTGGGTTAAAAAAAATTAATTTATTTATTAAAAAAAGGGTAAATAAGTAAATTTGGGGGTGCAGGCTGAGGTGAGAGAGGTGCAGGAAGATTCACTCAGTTTATTTAGCTCTAAGAAATGTACTTAAGAACTAACAAAAAAGTTTCAACTGCTAATTTGGTGATCATGGTGTCAGATCAAAACCTAATTAGTTTGTTTAACAAAGCCGTAAGAGATGAAGGGGCAATGTCATTATTATAGTAGACCATAGACGGCCTGCCACACGATATAGGTTTTACAACATATTATCACAAACAAGAAAGTCAAGTCAATAATAGTAATAATAATAATAGAACCAACGTCAATCGAAAACAAAACCGCACTGATGAAGCTGACGCAAAGAATTGTAATTTAAAACTCTATTAAGATTATGAAATGCTCTAAACTGAAGCACTAATTTTGATTAAAGAATGAAGGTATATGTTTTGAAAAAATACATTGTTAGTGTTTAACAGAATGCCCAGGAGAGAAATTGTCATTATCATTGAAGAGAATAGATTGATGCAAAGCGGAAGCAATACTGTGACATGTTTGACGATTCCCGTTATAAACAGGTTGTGTTGTGCTTTCCCAACTATGCATAGAGAAAATGTAATGCTGAGAATCTCAATTCCTCCTAATTGTCCTATTGGGCCTAAAAGATTGGGCTTCATTCATGTCCATATCACATTCGCTACCATTTACAATCAATTTACAGAAATCATTTAGTGGAAACTCAATTTTAAGTATATCAACCTTGGTACTAGATAAACAGCAAACACACCTATGAAGAACTGGTAGGATACCAATCACTTGCCGTAGCAGCAAAGTAATAAAATGGTCCCATCTCAGTTTTGAAAATAAACAAATAACATCAACTTACAAATTGAAAACAACACCCCTTTAGGTCTGCTAAATACACCAACGCTTGAAAACTAAAAGACAGGAGGCAACGTCATGTCACAAACAAATTTACTATACAGTATACACCTACTTATATTATTTTTAATTTCGCTTGGATTGTTTTGACTTTTTGGAGGATCTACCAGTCTCTAGCTTTCGCCGTGTAGCTTCAAACTCCTCTTCAGAGGGTTCCGGCATATCACCTCCACCATATTTTGAAACTAGAGATGAGAACATTGAATCAAACTGGCCTTTCCTCTCATTTCGGCGTTGTGCTATCATTGCATACAGATCTGTTTCTGACTGCTTATTAGACCTGTAGAAAACAACGGATCATTCTTAAACTAGAGCATAGATAGCACTGGTAATGTAAACACCTGCTTGATCAACTTACTTTTCCCTCCTCAAAGGATTTGGAGGCGGTTTGGTTTCAGATACTTCCTTAGCCCATTTCTGGTAGGCTTTTGTTGCCTTTAATTCTCCTGCAGAATATGATGAAGAGAAAATAAATAATCATCTAGGAAATACTTAAACAACCCGTAATGGATGGACTGTCATGACATCGCATGTTAGTATACTGATTCACCGAGCTAATGCTTAAAAGTTAAAAGTGAAGTAAGTTCATCTTATTGGCTTGCATTGCAAATCTAACAATCAAAATACACTTTTTTCCTGCAGATAAACTTAAAGTCTACAGAAAATGTCCACCTAATATCCTAGTTAACAAAATATAGTCAATATCCTTACCAGCAGCTATAGCCTCATCTAGAATATCCTTGAATCGGTGTGAATCAAATTTAGGATCTGAACAAAGCATTGAACAAAAAAGCCTGCAACGGGAGTTAACTCTTGATATCAAACTCAACCTTTTCAAATATGGCTAATGTGCATCACAAATTTGCAATGCTTTCTTACCTATTCATGTTACCCTTGCACTTCTTGTACAAATCCATCAAATCATTTTTTTCAGAGTCAGATCCCTTGTAGTTTGTTTCGAACTCCTCAATATCAGCTTCCGTGACCTATATAGCACATTTTTAAGTACCACATCGATAAACGCTAATATCCTTTCAAAAAGTTGAACATACATACACCACAATGCATCAGAAAACAGAACATCGTAATAAAACAAATACCTTCTTGTACATTGTTCTGAAGAACTCTTGAAGATTTTGAACAACATCTCCAGCAAGGTCCTGATACAAAAAAAAAACTTGTGGCTGAAGTATCCTGAATGCTACTCTCTGATGATAGTTAATGGAATATAAGGATTTCAGCTCTAATTCTTCCAATTCCTAAATTCTATACCCACTTTGCACCCATCTCAATCTCTAGGTCAGTTTCTTTCTCTTTCTTCTTTATATCTCTCATACCTCCAAGATGCATATTTTGTAATTGGGTAAATTCAGCTCCCAGAGAACTGAAAACCAACCTAAACACTCATTTGACTCTTTTAACATCTCTATATTTTCATTTCCTATCAGATCATCATTAACCACCAACAGCACAAGAAATTTAAAAGTTAGGCTGAAACAAATCAGAGTCTAACTCACATCATCGTCAACACATCCGGTCTGATCATATAGTGTCCTCTTCTCTTCATCCCCAAGAATCGATATCACCTTTTGCAGTTGTTGGAATTTCTCTTTAGCTTCCTGCAACAATAACAACATAAGAAATTACTGTCAACCCCTAAAATCAATCTACTGAACAAAATAAAAAAAAAACATGACAATTGGTATATTGAGCTTAAAGAATGACCTCATCACCAGGGTTCTTATCAGGATGAAGCCTCAACGCCAACTTGTAGTAAGCCTTCTTTATTTCCTGCTGAGAAGCAGTTCTCTCCACGCCAATAACCTGCAACCAACAATTCAAATCAAATGCTAACAACGAGTCACATATCACTGACAGTAGCAACATAGAATATTAGTTGGAAGAGTTAAATGTTCCATGATCAAAGATAATAGTGAATTTAGGTACCTGGTAGAGGCTGGTTTCATCTCCCTGCCCTTTCATTTCCTCGTCGTCAGAAACCCTAGCTTTTTTCTTCTGCACCATTTTCTTTATGTACAAACAAAGTGGTTATTCCAATCCTCCTTTAGCGGGTTTATCAAAACTTGCAGTTTATGTTAAACTGAAATTATTATTTTTAAAAAATGAAAAATGAAAGTAAGGCTGTTCCCGCCAAATGATTACTCCTCTTCCCGCCTTAATATTTCACAGATGCCAAGACAAACATAAATCCCAATTATCCAAATTTAACATATGTAAAACAACAAACTCAAACAATGAAAACACATTAATGGAATTGCCCATTATCCAAATTCAAAAGGCATTTCTCTACAGTATTATACAAGTTAACACATCCATCACCAACAAAACAAGAAATAACACTTCTAAACAAAAAGAAATTGCAATTGAATATTAAATTTTAATTTTCTTAATAAATGGAAATTATATTTTAAAACTTTGGAATTTATGTGTAAAATATTCTATAATATAAAATAAAAAAGATAGAATCATTTGAAACCTTTTTCTACCTATCTTTTAGAAGAATGAATAGATCAGAGTTACTTTCTTCACCAACACACAATGTTCGCTAGACCTCCTCATTCTTTTGTTGCCTTTGAATAATATATAATTTCTGTTTTTATTTTTTTACCCAACAACCAACCACTTCATTAATGGTCCCACCACTGTATTAATGCACCTCCACAACAGTCCATTGTATCAAGCAAGCCCAAATCATTGTATGACTACAGCATACCGGGCTTTTTTTGGTTAGGGTACATCCAAGTGAGGCCGATTCTCCTTCCACCCCCATTTGTTTCTTCATGCACCCCCATATCCTTGTTGAAATGACCTCATTGCCTTTGAGGGAAATTTTAATAAAAAAGCCTAAAATAAATGACTTCATCTTCTACTTCTTCTCCGCATGTTCTCTGCACAACGCAGCTGCTCACACAATCCATCCTCTACACCTTCATTTCCTTCAATGTTGAAATGCTTTTGAAGATAAAATAACTTTTGTTTCCCGGAGATGGTGTTTCCCAGCAAAATCAATATTTGTTTTCTTTTCTTAGTGCTGCAATCCTTAAACCCTTAATTCCATTGTTCTTTCTCTGCCACTAAAAGATTCCCATGATTTAAAAGATTCACCATCCTCAATGACTAAGTTTCTAAATGCCTTGTTTTTGCCTCCCCGATTTGGTATTGCTGAAGAAGATTTTTTCCCCAAACAGAAGCACCTCTCTTGCTCAACGACCCTCTTGTACTACCCCTGGAGGCTGGACGAGGATGCAGGTGGTGGTGCAACACGTCCCCATCCACAATGTTATTGTCATCTAGGAAGAGATGAATACGTCCGCATCAAGAAACTCATGAACCAAACCAACGTAACGGTGGACATGGGTCGAAGAAACTCTTCTTGGAGCTCACCAGTCTTGTCCTACACCTCTTAATTTTTGTATTATTTCAACTATGTCCTTGTTATCCTTTCAGAACATATACAATATTTTGTCTGTTTTTATTTGGATACGGATTGTACACTTGTCCGCATTTGGAAGTGTAGCTGCAATTTGAAATAGTCTAAATGTGGTTGGAGGTGCCATAAATCATGTGGTGAAGTTTTTTCAATCTACATTTATTACATTTAATTGTTTTTAAATTTTATTTGCTTTGTACTTGAAAGTGCGGTGAAAGTTTTTTTCTTCTACATTTATTATATTTAATTGCTTTTGAATTTTATTTGCTTTTTATATTTTTTTAATAGTTTATTTAAATATTAAACATTTTGTGGTTAATATTTTGTAATTTATATTTTATTTTTGTATTTCATATTCATTTAAAATTTATTTTTAATATAATTATTTATTTTGATTTTTGAAAATTTAATTTATTTTTTAAAGTTTTTGAATCTATAATTATTTATTAATATTTTATTTTTTAATATGAATTATTATTTAGTTATTTGTTGTATATTTTTTGTTTTTATTTATTTATTAATTTAAATTTAATTTGTTGTATTTTTGTGGTTCTTTTAAACTTTTTATATTGAATTGTTAACATTTTTTTAATTTTTAATTTTTATTATATTTGATATTTATTTAATATTTCTTATAATATAATTAATTTGAAATTTATATTTGTTTGTTAATATGTAATGTTTTTGAAATTATCTATTTGTTTAAAAGATATTTATTATGCGTAAATTTTAATTTTTAAACTAATATAAAAAACAAAACCAAATCAAATTCAAAAAATAGTGAATCAAAACAAAAAGAAAGACAATAAAACATATTTCCAGTTACGGCCAAATGAGTCGCCATTCCAAATGCGGCTACCGCAATTCCAACTGCGATGTCGTATGAACCGTGCTTCCAAAATTTCGACGCGATATGAACCGCACTTCTAACTGTAATTATGGTGGACGTTCAACCCAATTTTCAAGTGCGACAACCTTTGTAACAGCTCTTTCGTCGGCGTGTTCTCAATCAATACGTCTCGACTCGACCTTCGTCTCATCCAACCTAGAAATGCATCCAATCCATACTTTCGTCCCATCCAACCCATAAATGCATCAATCTAACACCGGCGTCCTCTCAACCACTATGGTTAAGGTATCGACTTTCATCCCATCCAACCCAGAAATGCATTCCAGCACATACAAACAACACATACAAATACCACATACAAACAACAGTCTAAAGATTCTCTGTGATTATGTGGTTCTAACATAAAAGAATTGGAAAATGCAGGGTGAGACTGGTAAGGTAGTTAGAATAATAAAAAAATTGAAAGATGTAAGACGAGACTGATAAGGTACAGGCAGGGAGATGTTGATTAAGGGTGGATGTTGGTTTTTTGGGATCCAGAACACTAAATAAGAAAAATATAAAAAATATATATTTTTGGGATTGAATATTTTATTAACCATTTTCAGATTTGAAAATAGTTTTTTTAAACATTCAATTCAGAATAAAAAATATTTTTTATATTATATATTTTGAAAGGTATTTTCAAATTTAAAAATATATTTTGAAATGTTCAATTCAAAATTTAATTTTTTGCTTTATGGGTGTTTTGAAAGGTAATTATGGTGGAGATCGAAAGCGGAACTGAAAGTGGAGAAAAAAATGGAAGAGATGGTGAATAGTCGTTACGAATATTATGGGGGTGCGTGAAGAAAAAAAGAGGTGCTGGAAAAAAAAACACAGCCTCTGGTGTACATGTTTGATACTCTATTTCAAGAAAGCTCATTTTTTGTTGGCTTGACAGTACATGTTTTTTCATAAACAATTTCTCATTATGTTTGTAGTAAATGGAATTTGAAGTGAATTTGATTTCAATTTCTCAAATTTAAAATAAATTATAATGGTTTTAAACTTAAAAAAAGTAAAAAATTAGTTTCTCTAATTCATTTGGTATACTTTTACTATTTGGCTTTCTATTATATTATTTGGTTTAATTAGTAATTTAGTTTGTTTTGACTTTAATATTTATTTTTTATTTAAGTAGATTTTATTTTTGAAAAATGATTCAATATGATATCTTCAATTAAACTATTGTTAACATAATTAGAAACTGTCGTGTGTAAAAATATAAATTTGATGTTAAAATTTGAATCTAATTTTCACATATAACACCTTTTAAATAAAAAATGTCTAAATGTTAAAATGTGTACATTCAAAAAAGAAATCACATTTAATATTTCTTACAAAAATAGATATTCAATTGATTTTTTTTAAAAAAAATAAGAATTTAATTGAGTAAAAAAATATAAAATTAAAAAAATAAAAAAATTTAAATATAAAAACTCAATTACTAATTAAATTAAATTAAGTCATATTATTTTATCAAAGTAACTTAAGTGGAAAATTTTAAATAAAATTAATGGATAGGGCTCCATTTATTTAATATATCATGTTGGGTGTGTTAATTAAGGATGCTAATGAAATCGGATAAGATGGTGACAAGTTTAGCTCTACTCATTCTGGATTTTACTGTAAAAGAACATCTTTTATTTTCCTCTTTGATAATATGTTATATTCCAATGACAGAGGCATATCGTCCACTCTCAAACTCATTCATAAAATTATTGTGTGAAACAAAACATTTTCAGATGAATTAAACGCTGACAATGCAGAATTTTCTACAAAGAAATATTTTTTAACAATTTTTTTTGACAACTATGTGAATAAAATAGCGATACATTATCTTCTGTTATTAAAAAATTATTAAAATATTTCCAATCACAGAGATTCACGGGTGTTACTGATGTTCCATGCCTATTTACCTACACCTACTCTCGTAGCTCAGGAATCAAAAAATGTCTGCAAAAACAACTATGGTTCTTTCTGTATCCTTTATGTGCTCAACAGATACGTGTAACTAACCAAATACGAAACAAGACAAAGCTTTTGAACCTGCACAAATTAAAAAACATCTTGCTTTTGAACTTTTCTTTCTCTAAACTAAACATAACTTCTCAAACCAACGGTTAATATGTATTTTATCGCATCATATAATTTATTTATTACATGTTTGTCATAATATTGTGTAATTTTGTTAGAAAATTTAAGTTTAAGTCTAAGTATCAGTAAAAAATAAAGAAAAGAGGATGTACCTAAGGTATATGTAGCCCTATCCATAACATAACATTGATGTAAACATGGACAACAAAATGAAAGAAGGGTCCCCACAGTAAGGCTCGTATTGGTACTATGAGAGGCTAACTTATGGAATGCTTATTATTATTCCCATGGCTTTCTTCAATGCAATAAGTGCAATTTGATAACAACATTGCCTTTCCCTCACAGCCACCATTTTCTGTCTCCTTTCTTTATCAAAAGAAAACCTTCAATACCTCACTGATTTCTTAGCTGTGATATGTGATTTGGGGTCAGGGAATATTGCAAACAAAGAGGAGGGAAACACACAAAAACTCATGCTCATCTTTCTTCTAAATCAACATCTATCAAATCTCAACTTCACACAGGTATATGGCAGTACTATTCAAAGAAAAAAAATCGATTTTTTTTAAAGATTGTAAAATGAAAGTTTAAGAAATACTTAACAATGAAAAAATTAGGTAGATTAAGTTTGATGTATTAGGAAGTAATAGAAAAAATATTACATTTTGA